TTTGTTGTTGTTGTTAATCCTCACCCAAGGATATTTTTCCATTGATTTTTAGAAAGAGTGAGAGACAGAGAGAAACATGAAAACATCAATGTGGTCAATAACATCGATTGATTGCCTCCCGAACTCTTCAGTCCTCGGGCCAAGGCTCTATCCACTGAACCAAACCAGCTAGGGCAGGGGTGGGCAAACTTTTTGACTCGAGGGCCACATGGGTTCTTAAACTGGACCGGAGGGCCGGAACAAAAGCATGGATGGAGTGTTTGTGTGAACTAATATAAATTCAAAGTAAACATCATTCCATAAAAGGGTACGGTCTTTTTTTTTTTTAGTTTTATTCATTTCAATCCGGCCCGCGGGCCGTAGTTTGCCCACGGCTGAGCTAGGGAGAGCAGTGGTTCTTAAACCTTCATCTGCATCAGAACCAGCCCCACCCTGGAACTTCTGAATCAGCAGATTAGGTGAGGCTCAGGAATTTGCATTCTAACAAGTTCCCAGGTGCTGATGATGACTAGAAATCTGGGACACACATTTGAGAATCACTGGCTTCCTGAGAACAAGGGGCTGCCACATGGACCAAGCAAAGGACTTGCTCCCCTAGCAGGAGGGACCTTTTACAGTTCCTGTCTGCCGGACTTGTCAACTACTTTAACAAGTATTTCAGACGAGAGTTTTAATTGGCTTCCTGTTCAGATTCCACCACTGATAGAGACTACAAATCACCACAGATCCTGGGCCCTGAGTTAAAAGAACTGATTAGGACTTCAGGCCTGTCTCCCTTGCATGTTTTCTGTGTGGGAAGACACTTGGATGGCCCAAAGGGGAGGGTTGTAGGGAGACTGCTGTCCCTCCAATATTTATTACTTCCTCTCCTAGAGTAATAGAAGCTTTAGTTGTGCACATAACCTCCCAGCTAAAGATTACATTTCCCAGCCTCCCTTGCAACTAGGTGTAATCATGTGACTAGGTCCTGACCAGTGACTTGTGAAGAGAAGCTAGGTGTGCAGCTTCCTGTACACACCCTTCTTGCTGGCTGGAATGTGCTTGTGGGGACACGGGGCAGCCATCTCAAGTATGAGTCAGCCACCAGATGTCCAAGATGACAGAGCAATAAAGAAGCAAGAACCTGGTCCTCCACACCATTGAGCTGCCCCATTGAAGCAGGTTAGTAAGAAGCTAGGAAGCCTTGGCCATTGTGGCTCAGTGGTTGGAGTGGCAGCCTGCACACCTACGAGTCTCAGGTTTGATTCCCAGTCAAGGGCACATGCCTGGGTTGAGGCAACCAGTCAATGTGTGTCTCTCACATCCATCTTTCTCTGTCCCTCCCTTCTACTCTGAAAAGCAATGGAAAAAATATCCACTGGTAAGGTTTAACAAAACAAAAAAAGGCTAGGGAAATTCCTTGGAAAGTGGAATTGGGCAACTGTGACAGAGAACTAAACAAACTGGCCGAGAAATTTACAGCCAGATACAAAAGGTCACCAGAATGGAAAGCTCTCGGTGCCTAGCAATGGGTAAAACTGGTGCTGGACCTTGCCCCCAGGGTGGCCTTTCCTCCGCTGGCACACGGCTGGCCATGTGGTTTAGACCCCCTGACCCTTCATATCACTGGTCATGTGGTTTTAGACCCCCACCCTGACTTTTCCTCCTTAGAAATAACATCTAGGCCTCAGTTGTATTTCAGCTCCAGAAAAGAAACAAGATCAGCTGTGACAACTAATAACCCCTGCCCTGGTGTCAACCAATCAGTGGAGACCAGGACCCTGAACCGATAGACCTAGAAAGTTGATGAATATTCTTTTGAGATCCTTTCCTAAGCCCTCCCCTAATTCCCAGGCTTTAAAACTCTCAAGACAAAGGACCCAGCGCACTCCCTCCCTCCAGGAAGCCAGCCCATGCCCTTCCCTTCCTTCCTTTCTTCCCTCACAAGCGTGCATCTCCTAAACTCTAAGGGACCCCAGGAGACTTGCAACCAGGGGAGCAATGGGTAGCGGCGGTTCATCCCAGGCTAACGCCCTGAACCTGTCCCCAAGGCCCACTTTTCTCGGACTTTCCAGTGAGCTGACAGCAGACTGGCTTTGGCTCACTTCTTTCCCATAATGCTTCTAGAGAGCCAACGCAGCCCAGCCTGGTCTCCTGTTGTTTCTTCTGTCCTAGGCCCTTCCTTGTTTCACTGTCCCCAGCTTCAATAAACGTACTCTCAAAATCACCTGGACTCACAATTGCAAATCTTTCCTGCATGAAGTCAAGAACCCACACACCACAGGCTGGCCAGAGGTAGACCTACTCGGGGTGAACCTGGAATGCTAATACAGGAGACCACCCAGGAGTGGCTACAAGAGTGAAAAGGAGCTGACACAGGCAGATTTGCTGGAGGACAGATTGGGTAGCTGGGTAATAAGCCTGTACTAATTTATTCTAATTCTTATGACACTTAATGTTTGACAAATTGAATGAAACAATGGTCTCAGCAATTAAGGTCAAGGAAATATCAAGGAGCAGAGAGAGACCTACATACCCAGCTCTTCGCACAATCAGACCAGCAACCACCCACAATACATTTCAAAAGACTTGATGCCTGTGTGAACCCCGACGTGTGGTTTACCACACATCACCTTTCAGTTCAGGCCCAACCTTCAGAAGGCCTCTGTTAAATACAAATAATATTACCTGGAGCCAGAGGAAGCCACTTCAGGACTTTTGGTATGTGTGATTGCCAAACACCAGTTTTATTCAAATCTATCCAAAGCCCTTTAAGTGGTAGGCAGAAGTCAGGTTCTCAAAATGCCAGAGGCTGAGCAAGGTCATAAGCAATCTTCAACAAGTACATGCAAAATAAGGTTTAATTAATGCTACTGTTACCGGAAAGGGGACCTGGCCCTTGATGGTAGTGTGTGGGTTCTTGACTTCATGCAGGAAATATTTCACAACAGGAGTCCAGGTGAACTTTAGAGGACATTTGTTGAAGCTGGGGACAGTGAAACAAGAAAGGGCCTAGGACCGTGGTCGGCAAACTGTGCGGGCGTGCACATTCAGTGCCACTGAAACTTCGTGGCCCACGCGCAGAAGTCGGTATTTTGTGGAAGAGCCACACTGAACGGGCCAAAGAGCCGCATGTGGCTCTCGAGCCGCGGTTTGCCGAGCCGCAGTTTGCCGACCACTGGCCTAGGATAACAGAAGGACTAGGTGGGAAAATGAGCCTAGGCTGGTCTGCTTTGGCTCACTAAGAAAACAGAGAGAAGGGGGTCCTTAGAAACAGGTTCGGGGGGTTTGCCCCAGATGAACTGCCACTGACCATTGCTGCCCTGGTTGCAAGCCTCATGGGGTCCCTTAGAGTTTAGGAGGTGCATGCCTGTGGGGGAAAAAGGAAGGAAGCATAGGTGTGCTCCTGGGAGGGAGAGAGGAAGAGCGTGAGCTGGGACCTTGTTTTGAGGGTTTTAAAGGCTGGTTGTTACCCAGCCGGTGTGGCCCAGTGGTTGAGCATCAACCTATGAACCAGGAGGTCACAGTTCAATTCCCAGTCAGGGCACATGCCTGGGTTGTGGGCTCAATCCTGGGGATCATACAAGAGGCAGACGATCAATGATTCTCTCTCATAATTGATGTTTCTATCTCTCTCTCTTTCTCTCTGAAATCAATAAAAATATATTTAAAAAATAAAATAAAGGCTGGTTATTTAGGGGAGGATTTCAATAGAATATTCATCAACTTTATGCTGATGTACCAAAATGAGATTTATTCTCTTCATCTGTCCTTGGCAGTGGCTGGCAAACGGCACTAATTGGATTTCTACCATCTCCCTGAGTAGGGTGACTTAAGCTATTTACCCTCTGGTTGTGGAAAAGTGCAAACCATTTACTTTTTTAAAAAAGTATTTTTTAATTAATTTTTTAGAGAGAAAGGGAGAGAAACATCAATGTGAGAGAGATCTGATTGGTTGCCTCCTGCACGCCCCCTACTGGGAATCGAGCCTTTTGGTGCATGGGAGGACGCTCAACCAACTGAGCTACACTGGCCAGGGCCAAACCATTTACTCTGAACTGCGCTTGGTTTAGGGAAGATGGGATTTTCTCGATGGCTGCAAATTGCTATTTACTAGTAACTATCTGTCTCAGTTTCCCTATTCCACTTGCCAAGAATTTTTCCTAGCTTCTTCCTATCCTGCCTCACTACAGTCAGGGAAGGGAAATCTGCTTTGACCAACTGGAATACAGAAACTTAAAATGCTTTTCGCATACCCTCTTTACTCACCTCCAAAAAGTAACAGAAATTGATAGCACTTTTTTTTTCCCCTCTGGAAAATAAAAAGGTACAGAAAGTGGCACTATCTTGCCCGAGGACTCAAAGCACCAGTAAAAACACAACCTAACTCCCAAAACAAAAGAACAGCCAGGGGATTTGTGGATGTGGAAACAAACAGGCTTTACTCTCTCTTCCTCACGCAATTTTAATCAGCAAGGCCAAGGGGAAGAGAAAGAGGGTTGGGTAGCCAAGGTAGACTCTCACAGCCCTGAGAGGACAGGGGCAGTTGGAACAGGAGAGCAGGGGTCTGAGTAAAGTTCTACGCAGAAGAGAAGGGGGCAGGCAAAATTTCACTGTTTCCTGGAAACCCAAACACTTCGTTCTTTGATGTTCCCATGAGAAAAGCTAAGAATAAAGGCTCTGGATCCAGGCGGCTGGGTGTGACCCCATCTCCACCCATGACCAGAGATAAGCTGTGACTAATTTCTTAGTTGGATGGTAAACTCTTTCACTCAAACTTTTTTTTTCCATTCAAAAACTTTTCATCGCTAATGCTGACTATTTTAAACTGTCATATCGGAGAATTGGGAAAAGTTTCCAATTAGTAATAATCGTGCCTCAGATAAACCTCATTAGCTATGATACTGCCAATGCACAAAGCTCATTTAATTTTTTAAAAGATTCACAAAGGTTTAAAGGCCAGAGAGTACATGCAGCTCCTGCTCAGGGGCCGGCCGCACAGGGCCCTCTTGGTGACTCACAGTTCAGGATGATCTGGGCGGCACGGTACAGCTCCAGGTGGCACAGGAGGTCCAGCAGCTGTTGGACGGTGGCCTGACGCATCCCCCACCACCACAGCAGCTCCCGGGTAATGCTGACGCCCTGCACCCGCTCCATGGACTTGATCTTCCGCAGCTGGGTCAGGTCCGTGATCACATAGGAGGCTAGAAGGCGAGTGAGAGGATCCACTTAGAGTTAGCAAAGCAGTGCCTCCATGAGAGGGCCAGTGTATTAGCCAGGCTTTGTCCATAATTTTTTCCCCATCTGCCCCCTACCACACCAGAAATTCCTCCATCACCTGGGGGTCCACAGGCAGCCCAAGTTATAATGCTGATTCCATTTCATACCCATGGGGACCAGCACATCAACACTTGAACCTAAATATCAACGTCTCGCCCTAACCGGTTTGGCTCAGTGGATAGAGCGTCGGCCTGTGGACTCAAGGGTCCTGGGTTCGATTCTGGTCAAGGGCATGTACCTTGGTTGCAGGCACATACCCAGTGGGGAGTGTGCAGGAGGCAGCTGATTGATGTTTCTTTCTCATCGATGTTTCTGACTCTCTATCCCTATCCCTTCCTCTCTGTAAAAAAAACAATAAAATATATTTTTAAAAAATAAATAAATAAATATCAACGTCGATACCACACAAGACTTTGGAGAAAGACCACTGGGTGTGAGGGTCAGGGGCCTCAAGCTTTAGCTGCTTATTTGCTTTGAGCAAGGCACTTCCCCCAGGGAGCCTGTTTCCTCCACTGTAATAGCGGGACAACAACTTTGCCTGTCTCCCCTTCTAGAATAGAAGCCTGTGAAGGAGTTCTACGTGTTCTGTTCACCATTAGATCCCCATAACAGAGAACAGTGCCTGGCACAGAGTGGGGCCTGGGCCAGGACTAGGATGAGGCAGGGGAGGGCACCAGGGGGCAAAACTTAAGGAAGGGCTCATTCTTAGGGCTGATGATGCACTTGAGACAGGCTAGTAAGCCAGACCAAGTAGAATAGGGAAACTGGGACAGTTTACAGCCATCTAGGAAACTGCCATTAAAGTACCTGGTTTACACTTTCCCCCAACCAGAGGGTAAATAACTTAAATCACCCTACTCAGGGAAATAGAGAACAGAAAATCCAATTAGTGCCATTTGTGCCAACCACTCCAAGGATGGGAGTCAGGGAAATAAAGCTCATTTTGGTGCATCAGCATAAAGCTGATAAATATTCTAGAGAGCCTCCCCTAAAACCTCCCCAGTCTGCACCCCTGTACCTTTCCTTCCCCCCTCTTTTTCCCTCCCTCTGCCCCTACCTGTTAGCTTTGCCTTTCTCTCTCCTAAGCTCCAAACAGGGGCCTTCCTTTGTTTCTGTAACTTGTTTGCTGAGCCTACGCAGCCCAGCTGGCTCACTTCTACTACCTCTATAACTTTCTAGATAAACTTTCTCTTTTAATTTTAGTTCCTGGTTCTGAATTCTTTCTTTGCCGAACTCAAGAACCAAGGTCCAGCCCGACCGGTATCAGTGGTTGAGCATCGACCTATGAATCAGGAGGTCACAGCTTGATTCCCAGTCAGGGCCCATGCCTGGGTTGCAGGCTCCATCCCCAATGGGGGGTGTGCAGGCTCTCATCATGGATATTTCTATCTCTCTCTCCCTCTTATATAAATATATATATATATATATATATATATATATATATATATATATATATGAAGGAAGCTGAGGTCCAACTTAGCCAGTAATAACTGGTGCTGTTTTGCCATCAATATCGCCGGTAACACTTGCAGCAACTGAAGATTAGGTGTCTCCTTATGCCTCCTTAAATATTACCCTCACCTCTAAGTCCCAGCCCTGGCAGGGGAAATATGAATGAATGAATGAATGAATGAATGAATGAGCCAGCCCACCATGGCCCATCATCTTCAAAGAATAGTTAGAAGGATCAAAAGAGCCTGTGGATCCAAAAGCATTTTGCCAACTCTGAAGCACTACAAAATTTGCAGGGGGCTACCATTTACAATACTAAAAATAATGTATTCCTTCTTTTCATTTTCTATTATAAAATTAACTAGAGGCCCGGTGCATAAAATTTGTGCAGTGGGGGGGGGGGGTCCCCTCAGCCTGCCCTGCACCCTCTTGCAATCCAGGTCCTCTTGGGGGATGTCCGACTGCTGGTTTAGGCCCGATCCCTGTGGGCCTAAACCAACAGTCGGACATCCCTCTCACAATGTGGGACTGCTGGCTCCTAACTGCTCACCTGCCTGCCTGCCTGATCGCCCCTAACCACTCTGCCTGCCTGCCTGATCGCCCCTAACCACTCTGCCTGCCTGCCTGATTGCCCCTAACCACCACTGCCTGCCTACCTGATCACCCCTAACTACTTGCCTGCCTGCCTGATCGCTCCTAACCACTCTGCCTGCCTGCCTGATTGCCCCTAAGTGCCTTCGCCTGCCTGCCTGATCGCCCCTAACCTCTCTGCCTGCCTGATCACCCCTAACCACTCTGCCTACCTGCCTGATGGCCCTAACTGCTTGTCTGCCTGCCTGATCGCCCCTAACTGTTCACATGCCTGCCGGATCACCCCTAACCACTCTGCCTGCCTGCCTGATCGCCCCTAACCACCTCTGCCTGCCTGCCTGATCGCCCCTAACCACCTCTGCCTCGGTCCCCCACTGCTGTGGCTTCATCTGGAAGGACGTCTGGAATGACATCCAGAAGGTCCTTTGGCTGTCCGATCTAATTAGCATATTATGCTTCTATTAATATAGATAGTTGTTCACTAAAGAAAACGTAGGAAATAATGGGGGGAAACTAAGAAAACAAGTTACATAGCATCCTATTAGGGTACTTTCTCTTCTAACTAACCCCCCGTCCCCCCCTCCACACACACACCACACACACACACAGGTGTGGTTCTGTAAGACTGTAAGATTTTGCAGCTTGTTCTTGTTTAACTTTACAGCATAAGCATTTTCCCAGTTGTTAAAACTCTTCATAAATGGCTTTTTGAATGGTCATAAAGCATTCCACTGAGTTTACGGAAGTGAGAAAGGCATTTTAGTTAACTAGAAATAAAATAATCACGCTTTAGCTCTAGGGTTTCAGAAATCACAGAGCAAGAATCTCTGTGAACCTCAAGTCATTCATTCATTCAACAAAAAATGATTGAGCACTACTGTGCTCCAGGTCCGCAGCAAGCTCTGGGGATCCTGTGGTGAGTAAACCAGAAGCCCATGGCACTTCTCTGTTTGAAAAATACAAACATAACTGGACTGAGTGAGGAAGGGGAGACAAGAGATGAAGGCCAGGAAAATATAGCTAAGGGCCTCGAACGCTGGGCTTGGGGTTTGGACTTGAATCTAACAGCCACGGATTCCACGGAGTCCACGTTAGACCTCCGAGCCATGTTGCACAATCCCCTCTGCTCTGAAGGAATGGGGAAGGTTGTGACAGCTTCCTGCAGGGAGAAAGCCTCCAGGAAAGGGCCCTGCTCGGATGGAAAGTTCCCCGAGTTGCAACTTTAGTCACTGGAAACCCCAGGCCAGACTCCAGGACAATAGGATGTGATGTCAGCAGGGTCAGGTGCTGCTTCCAGCCTCAGAGAGAAAAGAGCAGAGAGAAGCGACTGTGACTCCTCCCACTCCGGAGGCAGCATGATTTCATGAGAAAACAGAACCGCAAGGCTGCCCTGGAGCTCTGCGGCTGTGTGAACTCTCAGCCATGTCCTTAGTCTCTGTGGGTTGCATTTCCTCATAGGCAATGCAGGAGAAATAGGAATTAAGCTCTAAGGTGCCTTGTAGTTTGGACATCTTAGCTCCATGAAAGAGATGTTTTTGTTTTTTGTGTTTTTATATTTTTTATTGATTTCAGAGAGGAAAGGAGAGTGAGAGAGGGATAGAAACATCAACGATGAGAGAATCATTGATTGGCTGCCTCCTGCACACCCCCTACTGGGGATGGAGCTCGCAACCCAAGCATGTGCCCTGACCAGGAATAGAACCGTGACCTCCTGATTCATAGGTTGACGCTCAACCACTGAGCCATGCTGGCCAGGCTGTATCTTTTCTTAAAATATATTTTTATTGATTTCAGAGAGGAAGGGAGAGGAAGAGATAGAAACATCAATGAAGAGAGAGAATCATTGATTGGCTGCCTCCTGCAGGCCCCCTACTGGGGATTGAGCCTACAACCCGGGCATATGCCCTTGATCGGAATCGAACCTGGGACCCTTCAGTCTGCAGGCTGATGCTTTATCCACTGAGCCAAAACGGCTAGGGCAAAAGTGATGTATCTTAAGGTATTGACCTAGCAGCATCTAACTATACCATTAAAACAGGGTTCAAACAAGATAGGGATCTTGGGGGGATAAGGCACTGCCGAGGGCCCTGTTACATCCACACCTCTTTTCTCCACATACACAGGTAATAGAACATTTGGAAAATGGAAGGAAATCAAAGTTCCCATGACATCCCACTTGGAAGATCCCAAGAAAAGCACTGCTTATATACTTTTTGCTTCTAAACTTCCAGATTTTTCTATAAATATAAAAATACATGCTTATGTCAGCAGGACAGTACACTGATGGTTCAGGCCCAGATTTTGGATTCAGAGATCTGGGTTCAAATCCTGTCTCTGCTACTTACTTGCTGTGTGCTTGGGGAAGGCCCTTCACCTCTCCCTGTGCCTCAGTTTCCTTATCTGCTAATGAGGATAACAAGCGTGCCTGCCTCAGAGACTGTTGAGAGGATTAGATTAGTTTTAAATCTAGAAGCACTTGGAATACTGGTCGGCACATGGTAAATGAGCTATGAATGTTAGCTGTAATTGTTAAACCATCCACACTCTATGTTTTTAGCCCCGCTGGTTAACACCCTGTGGAGACTATCCCTCCAGGTCTGAGTTCCTGAATCCTGCTGGAGTTCACCTGATATGGTAGAAAAGCTCGCCCTTCTTCAAAGCCCTCTGGAGCGGGCACAGCCTCCTGAAATGACCCACCCTGGGGTCAAATGCCTCTTGTCTGCTTGAGAGAAGGGGAAAGTGCTAAGGATCTTCCCCACCATCGTGTCCCCTAAGCAGCAACTCCATCCCATTTTACAGCCGAGAAAACGAAAGGTTTAAAGCAAGGCAGTCACTTGCCTGAAGTCACACAGCTGGGCAGGGACAAAGCAGGGCTGTGCAC